CTTGATGAACTGTGTGCTCTTCAGAACAATGGTACTTGGGATCTTGTTTCTCTGCCTCCTGGGAAGTCTGTGGTTGGATGTCGATGGATCTTCACAATCAAGGTTGGTCCTGATGGCACCATTGATCGACTCAAAGCTCGTTTGGTCGCCAAAGGTTATACTCAAATTTTTGGATTAGACTATAGTGACACTTTCTCTCCTGTTGCCAAGATGGCCTCTGTCAGATTATTCTTAGCCATGGCTGCTCTTCGTCGTTGGCCTCTCTATCAACTGGATGTTAAAAATGCCTTTCTTCATGGGGATTTGCTTGAGGAAATTTATATGGAGCAACCTCCTGGGTTTGTTGCTCAGGGGGAGTCTTCCGGTTTGGTATGTCGTCTCCGCAAATCACTTTATGGTCTTAAGCAGTCTCCAAGGGCATGGTTTGGTAGATTCAGTACTGTAGTCCAACAGTTTGGTATGACTCGAAGCGAAGCTGATCATTCGGTCTTTTATCGACATTCCACTGCTGGGTGCATCTACTTGATAGTGTATGTTGATGATATTGTTCTCACTGGTAGTGATCATCATGGCATTTCTCAGATAAAACAACATCTTTGCCATCACTTTCAGACAAAAGACCTTGGTAAACTTAGGTATTTCTTGGGGATTGAGGTAGCGCAGTCTACAAATGGAATTGTAATATCTCAAAGAAAGTATGCATTGGATATTTTAGAGGAAACTGGGCTAATGAATTCCAAGCCCGTTGATACACCTATGGATCCTAATGCTAAACTTCTACCAAGTCAGGGGGAGCCTTTCTCAGATCCTGAGAGATATAGAAGACTGGTTGGGAAATTGAATTATCTCACGGTAACTCGTCCCGACATCTCTTTTGCAGTTAGTGTGGTGAGTCAATTTCTCAATTCTCCATGTGCAGGACATTGGAATGCAGTCATCCGCATTCTGAAGTATATCAAAGGTGCTCCAGGAAAAGGTTTATTATATGGCTACAACAATCATACCCAGGTTGTGGGATACTCAGATGCAGATTGGGCAGGCTCTCCCTCTGACAGGAGATCCACCTCAGGCTATTGTGTCTTTATTGGCAATAACTTGATTTCGTGGAAAAGTAAGAAGCAGAATGTAGTGGCAAGATCTAGTGCAGAAGCAGAATACCGTGCCATGGCCTCTGCTACGTGTGAGCTTATTTGGCTCAAACAGTTGCTTAAAGAGCTGAGATTTGGCGAAGTTTCACAGATGACTCTCATATGTGATAACCAAGCTGCCCTGCATATTGCCTCAAATCCAGTATTTCACGAGAGGACCAAACACATTGAAATAGATTGTCACTTCATTCGTGAGAAGATTTTATCTGGGGACATTACTACTCAGTTTGTTAACTCTACTGATCAGTTGGCAGATGTCTTCACCAAATCATTACGGGGTCCTAGGATTGATTATATTTGTAACAAGCTTGGTGCATATGATCTATATACACCAGCTTGAGGGGGAGTGTTAGATATAATTTAGTCTTATGGGCCTAGGCCCACTACTTTGTATTTAAACACATCTCTAGAGCACAATATACACAAGGGAATATGTTCTCTTCATTCACCATCACTCTCAATACACTGCATAGACTAAAATACTAGTTTAGAGAATTTTGAAAATTATAAAAGACACCTTGGTTTATAAAATACATGACAAACTATTGAAAGGAAAGTCTTCATGTATCAGTACTGCATCTGCAATTTACTTTGTGAATTAAGTTTGCTTGAATTTCCTTGTGTGCTTTTGTTGAAATAGACAAATTGAATAATCTGGCACATAAATCAAGTCTTCTAATCTCTGTTTGCTCAATTGCATAGCACTTCTATGGCAATCAACTGTTATCACCCAGACTTGGTAAATCCCAACTGAATGAAGACAGAAAACCAACATGCAAAGCATTACTCATAAGAAACTGGACTGGACAATGTGAACTAGATTATTTACTCCATCATTCAATGTGATAAGGGTCCTATTCTGGACTTGATAATTTTACTTTTAGTTACAGTTTAATTGGAATTTACATGGGGGAGGGGCTTGAGCTGATTAAGAGGATAGATTATTTTACTCCTTTTATTGCTTTTTATAATAGTAATTTCTTTATATCTTCAGCCTTAATGCTGGAGGATCCTTTGTATGTTTGCCAGCATTCCAGATCTTATATATATAACTGTTGATGAGTCTTCTAAATTTTTTGAACATCATTGCTTTGGTACACAGATTTTTGCAGCAGAGGACCTGAGCCAATGTTACATTCATCAAATGGCAAAATTTGGGCAAAACCTGATCAATTTGCTACCTAAGGATATATCAAATGAATTTCCTAGCTATGCGTGTATGCTTGGAAATATATTAGAAATTGCTGGAATTGCTTTGTCTCATCCTCACTGTTCATTTGATATGGTAAGGAGCTTATTCGCTGCAGTATGCCATCTGCTATAACTTGCCTCATTCATCTCACTTGCTGACTTATCTAGGTGAAGAGATTGATCTATGATGGATATACAGTTGATGCGGTAGAATTTTTGATTTTTTACTTCTATTAAAACAGATTTGATGATGCCCTAGAGTTTTCTTTAGGTTCTTTACATAAAATTGATCTTATTACGGAGGAGAAGAGAGTTTCATGAAGCCATGAAGTAAAACTTAATAAAAGCATAAAATAAAACTTGTGTTCAACAACTCAACTCAATTTTGAAGTTGATTAATGCTTGTTCCCTTACAGGCCATAGACCTTGCAGCTGTCACTACATTTTTGCTGGAGGCACTCCCATCTGTAAAAACTTCTCATAGTAGAGAAAGTATGTTTTCCTATCATATGCTCAATTTTTGGAATTGAAGATTTTTCTTCTTTTATCAAAGAATAGCATTGTGTTTTTTTTGTTGATAAAATAATATATTATTTAAAAGAAAATCAGGGAAATCCATCTATGGGAGGATGAGTAATCCTACTAGCAACATTTTCATTTTCAAAGAAAACAGCAAGCCTATGTGGGCCAGAAATGCAACAAAGAGTCCAGTCTCTTTTCGTATCAGCTGTAAAAGCCCCATTGAGACAACCATGGGTAGAGCACCGAATAGGAAACCAAAAACCTAATATTGTCTGAGAATGAATTTCACGGGACTCTTTGTACTTGCAGGCACCCTTCTCCAAAATACATTAGAAAACTGTTAACATTGTGCAGTGCCATAATAGTCTCCTGATTCATGACAATTTTTAAGTGAATGATGAGAATCTGCTTCGATGATCAATGTGGAAGAACAGACCCATTTTTCACTGTGAACCTTAAACAAATATTTCTAGAAGTATCCACCTTACGTTGGAAAACTAGGCTAGCTATTATTACTGAATTATACCTGCACACAACACATTAGCCTGCGTAGTTACTTCATCAAATCAAATTTTGAAATATATTTCAGTGGTTTAAAGTTCATCTTTTTTATTTTTCAAGTAAAAGTGACCACATTAGCTAGGTAATAGTCAAAGTATTCCTTATAAGGACATGGACAATCCTCTCCCTTGAGCTAGCTTTTTTGGTTAAGTCAGCTTCATTATCAAATTTAGTATTAGAATCTTCTTGTTGGGCTACTCTATATGTTCAGTCTGACAAACTTGTGCCTAGTCTTGGGTGAGGGGCTGAGGGGTGTGTTGAGATCCACATTGGCTAGGTATATGGGTGAAGTACTCCTTATAATAAATTTGCACATCTTGAGTATGCTTTTGGGAACGAGATAGGTCCAATCCGTTCTCAATTATATTAAGTTCTTGAATGGATATGTCAGGTTCTATGATTGCTGAGGATGATATGACTGGAGATGATGAAGTCATGGAAATAGCTTTGGATAGGAAATTGGAGCAGCAAATTTATTATGCCATAAATCCTCGCATCCTTCTGCAACTGGTATGCCACCTTTCAAATGACATTTGTATCTAAAATTTCATTTTGTTGGAAATTTTCATTGTCATTTATTTCGAAATTTGATTGAGATTTTTACTTTTTGAAATGTGCAGACAAATATATTATTTAAAGGGATTTCATCTGTCAATGGTTCAGATTATGGACCCAATGATAGAGATGCTACAGCTCTTGATGCGATTTGTGGGTTTTTGTATGTTACCTTCAACAAGCTGCCACTTGAACGGATCATGACTGTACTTGCTTACAGAACTGAACTTGTTCCATCGCTTTGGAATTTTATGAAGCAGTGTCATGAGAACCAAAAATGGTCATCATACCTCTCAAATGATGCACCTGGTTGGCTGTTACCTCTGGCTGTATTTTGTCCTGTCTACAAGTAAGACTTTTTTGTACCATTGTCTTTTTTAATAAATGCTTGTATGGGGGCATGAAATGTTTCTCCCTGGTCACCATAGCCTTTTTTTTTTTTAATTTAATTTTTCATTCGGAATAAATTCTATGTGATCTAGAGGACTTAAGTATACCATAATCTATTTTTCTTTTATCAGGCACATGCTTATGATTGTTGATAATGAAGAATTTTATGAGCAGGAGAAACCGCTATCACTGAAGGATATTAGAAGCCTCATCATTATATTGAGACAGGTAAAGGTTTTTATATATATTTTTTTTGCTGGAAAAATTCTTGGATGTTTTGTGGTTGAACTCTTTAGGGCAAAATGATTTCATTAATGGATCAAGTAGTTGAGTAAAACCTATATTAAATCTTTGCAAGGTTGTATGCATGAGTCCAAAGAACTAGAGTATGTTACATTTTTTGTAACATTGGTGGCGTTGACCAAGAATATATTGCAAACATAGTTTTTGTGAAAGCTCTGAATACAAATGTTTCCGCAGGTTCTGTGGCAGCTACTGTGGGTGAATCATACCACATCTGCTAATTCGGTAAAATCTGTTCCAGTTAGTTCAGCTAGTAAGGGGCAGTCTGTTCAGGCCATACAAGACAGAGTTAGCATTGTAGTCTATGAGCTTCTCTCCCAGGTAGAAACACTTTATATAGTGTATCTTATTTCATATTTCCTGTTACATTCCTCATTGGAAACTTAATGATATTCTAATTGTATCCCTAATCATGGTCAGTTTTATCCAGGGCCTGTTTGGTTTCACCATTTTTTATTATCATTTTTGAAGAAAGTAGAAAATAAGCACGAAAATGTGTTTACTTTTACTTTTAGAAAATGTTTTTCTTTGAAAATATTTCCAAAAGAAGCCCAAAATTGAAAATGAAAAAATGTCATTTTCACTATTTTTTGCACTTTCGAAAATGTGGCGGCATGTGATGATAATTATTAAATAATTTTACGAACTTGCTTCTAAGCTTGCAGCTTTGCACACATAATTCAATAGACTTAATTTTTTTATACATATAATTCATTCGACCTGTGTCGTATAAGTAGTAAATTTAAGTTGTATCCACATGGACTAGTTAGGTAAAATAAGCATTTAATGACTATTCGTGACTAAAGAATAATTCCAATTTTTCTTATAGGTTGTCATGCAATTAAAACAAAGATTATGATTCATTGGAATTTTAAATCTATAAAACTATTTGTGTGTGTGGAAGGGATAGAAATGATATTGTGAATTTGTGAGATTGTGGGATCAGATATCACCGAACTTCACTTTGATGAATCATTGTTCTCTTATTGCATTCATTGCCTAGTCAACCCATAAGTCTACTCAAACCTAATCCCTTAGAGCAAGAGCCTAGGTGCATATATTGAGTATCAATTCCTTGAATATCCAATATATGTACCTGCATTACGGGTTAGGGTTTAAGACTACTAATGGGCCAAGTTCCATTCCTAGATACATTTCTCACTAGGTATTTTGTTTCAGAGCTAGTTTCAAAGGCTATTTTCCAATACCCAATGGACTTTTGTTTCAGAGCTAATTTCAAAGGCTATTTTTCAATACCCAATGGGCTCTATGTCAAGCAAAGGAGAATCGATCCAAAGCAAGCATTAATAATAGAAACATAACACAACAATGAATGAAACGAACATATATTATTGATAAGGTGAAGATTACACAAGAGTTAAGTTGGTTACATCTAACCCCACAAAATAATGGGTAGAACCGCTCAAAACAATGGGGGTAAAACAAAAATAGAGATAGAAGAACCGAAGGAAAGACCCACACACAGCACGGTTCCAAGCACCGGGAATCCCTTCCACATCTCCTAGAAGTCGCCCTACGTGTGAATGAGGAAGGAAACCTCGAAGATTTGATCAAATATGAGTTGGGTGAGTCAGGATAGGGTTTACATGCCCGACGCGTTATACTTCGTGCCCGACGCAGAGTCTTCTAGAAAAGAAATTACTCTCTGTCTCAAGTCACACCTGGCACGGACACTCTTGCGCCCGACGCGATGTCTTCCAGAGAGTTTAAATGCTCTCTGTCTCGAGGCACACTCGGCACGGAGACTCTAACACCCGGCACAATGCTGAGTGCAGAGTGTGTTGCTCTCTGTCTTGAGCAAGCCTGGCGCGGGTAGTCTTGCGCCCGACGTGATATTACTCTCCTGCTCCTTAGCTCTTTTAAATTCCAATCCAATAGGTCTTCAACCTCAACTCAATACCTGCACAAAAAATAAGGTGTATCAGGGTATTGTCAGATGATTTTTGGGTTAGCTATATCTGCACAAATTTGAATCAAAAGAGAACAATTATATTGCAAGAGTGCATGGGGTGAGTGGAATTGTTTAATAATTCCTATCCAAAAACAAGTATAAATGAGACTTAACAACTCCCCCAAACTTAGAACCTTGCTTGCCCTCAAGCAACAGATAATTGATCTTACAGACACCAAGCAATGCATGTAGGTCAAATTCATAAATTCTAGCCTACTTGAATTTTCTTTTCAAAAGCACGAACCTTGGATGAACTTTCAATCACAATTATTGCAATGGAACATGACAAGGTGCAAACAAAAGTTTCAAAAGAGATCAAAGAACTGAGGAGAGTTGATGATCATCTATGAATGCATCCTTACTAGGAAGGTGTTTCTCTTTGTGCACACTAGTGTATCAAGGTGAGTGTTTCTCTCAAATCTACTACCCAAGCCACACAATTCAACTTTGCTCTCCGTTTTCAAATTGAGCCAATAGTCAAATAGATGCATGCACTCATCACAAGGTCTTTATTAGGGCAATTTGGGTCAAGCAATAACAATCTTATGGTTTTCCAGGGATTAAAAGTGGTATAGCTTAAGAGAGCAATTGAGATTTTTACAATGATATCCCTCTCCATAACCCTATACAATATTTTAGAACATGCCCTTAACCAGACCCAAGTCACTAGCCTTTATGCGATGCATATTCACATTTTTGCATCGTTATGTTTTTGTTTTGTTTTGCTTTGTTCTCTTCTCTTTTTTTTTTTTTAATGAAATAAATGACCATACACTTTCCTTTTCACAGAAGCCTTCATTTTTCAACTCCCCCAAACTTGTTTCATGTTATCAATTACTCTCTTAACCAAAAGCAAGGGTTGTGGTTAATTTTTCACAGTTTGAAATAAGTAAAAGATATGATGTTTATGCTTACGAAGTTATGGGTCAAGTGAGATGTGGGGATGACTTTTTGGCTCAGACGATTAGCAAAACAAAGAAATATGAATGCCTTGATCATATGAATGCACAACATTAGCAAACCACCAGTGAAACTCAAGCAAAGTCTATCATGTAACTTAAGCGTAATTTACTCATCAACATTCAGGGGCTCCAACCTCACCTGGCTATACATCCAAAGTTTATCAAACTTGGCTCAACACTATGATCAACATTGAAACCCGTATGCAACTAGTCATGAACTAAAGTTTTAACGTGAATTAAAAATATCTAAAGTACATACACAACAAGTATCAAACAAACCACAATTCAGAAATGACCACAAACACACCAAGTATCAACAAGATCAATAACCGTGCTATCAGCAGAGTAGTCACAAAAAGTAAACCAACCAAAATAATCACAAAAATACCAAACCTAACCAGAGTTTTGAAACATGAACAGATAAATCAAAGCTAAATCAATGAAAATAAAAGACATGAAAATAAAATGCGATGAACAAAAAAGGTAAACTAAGGTAAACTCCATCTGCAGCGGTCTATGGAGCCTGGTCATCAACTGCTCCACCATCGTCAGCTCCATCAGCATCATCAACTCCACCTCCCCAAAAGAAAGTGGCCTGGTCCCCGGGCCAACCAGTGTATGCATGGAAGTCCGTAGCAGAGGGGAACTGGTAGCCGGGAGTGGTCGTGAAGTGTAAGGTGAAACTCCGAAAGTTATCAAGAATGAAGAGCTGGCCACGGTGAAGAGACTACTGGCGCTGCATGAAAGTATCCATCCGACCCTTAAGAGCGCCAAAACGCTGATGAAAAGTGAGTGGAGGGTCTTGTGGCAGAGCATCATCCATAGGAATGTCTTCCTGGGGTCCAGCAACATGAATAAGCTCCGGCATAGCAACAGGCGGCTGACGATCCTGGTAGTAGGCAGAGATGTAGCGGCTATCGATCGCACGGCCAGGACCCTTGAAGGGTGGTGAGTGGACATCCACACCAGCAAGCTGACATAATTGTGTGATCAAAGAGGGATGTCCAAGAGCTGAGGAGGGTGGTGCATTGGTGCAGTCAGAAATCTCCACACAGATGATGGAGCCAATGTCCACAGTCTGCCCTGTCATGATGCAATACATGAGCATGGCACGGCTCTAGTGCAGGTCAGAAACATGAGAGCATGGGAGGATGTTGGCATGAATCAAGGTTGACCAAATCCTAGCCACCTGTGACGCTTCACATGAAGTGGTTGTTGAGCCCGGTTCCTGTAAAAGCTGGCCCCAGACATACACATCACAGCCTCAACCTCCTTAGTTGCTATCGTCCCACCTTCAAAATCCCTGTACTCACACTACTCAGGGAGTTGTAACGCAGTCCCCAAGAACTCATTAATAGTGTGGGCATCAAAGGGAACTCGAACACCCCTCACATAGTTGCTGTAGGGTACGATGCCCTCCTCTGGACGTAAAGCATTTGCATAGAACTCCTTCACCACAACAATGTTGGCTGGAAGAGGGTACGATCCTAGCTTGTCCCATTGCCGCCTGGTGAGCTCATTCTAGAATTCAGGAGCCTCGTCGTCCTCTAACTCCACTCGCCTCTCCAGTATAAATTTTTTGCCGCTCATAGTAGTAAAATGAGTCTCGTTGCGCTTGGTGAGGAACTGGCGAGAGTAGGGTCGGCTGGGTTTTCGTGTAGGTGGAGGAGATTGGCCGGAACGGGGTCGCTTGCTCGAAAATGCCATCTGTACAAAACAACGCAAGAGACCCATGAAAGAAATGGTGAGCACAAAAATATACACAGTGATGACTAAGGGCCATATTTTAATTAGTCATCACTGTGTATATTTTTGTGCTCACCATTTCTTTCATGGGTCTCTTGCGTTGTTTTGTACAGATGACATCTTCCAGTAAGCGATCCCGTTACGGACAATCAACTCCACCTACCCGAAAACCCAGCCGACCCTACTCCCGCCAGTTCCTCACCAAGCGCAACGAGACTCATTTTGCTACTATGAGTGGCAGAAAATTTATACTAGAGAAGCGAGTGGAGTTAGAGGACGACGAGGCCCCTGAATTCTAGAAAGAGCTCACTAGGCGGCGATGGGACAAGCTAGGATCGTACCCTCTTCCAGCCAATATTGTTGTGGTGAAGGAGTTCTATGCAAATGCTTTACGTCCAGAGGAGGGCATCGTACACAACAACTATGTGAGGCGTGTTCAAGTTCCCTTTGATGCCCACACTATTAATGAGTTCTTGGGGACTGCGTTACAACCCCCTGAGCAGTATAAGTACGGGGATTTTGAAGGTGGGACGATAGCTGCTGAGGAGGTTGAGGCTGTGATGTGTATGCCTGGGGCCAGCTTTCACAGGAACCGGGCTCAACAACCACTTCATGTGAAGCGTCGTGACTTGCTACCGGTGGCTAGGATTTGGTCAGCCTTGATTCATGCCAACATCCTCCCATGCTCTCATGTTTTTGACCTGCACTAGAGTCGTGCCATGCTTATGTACTGCATCATGACAGGGCGGACTGTGGACATTGGCTCCATCATCTATATGGAGATTTCTGACTGCGCCAATGCACCACCCTCCTTAGCTCTTGGACATCCCTCTTTGATCACACAATTATGTCAGCTTGCTGGTGTGGATGTCCACTCACCACCCTTCGAGCGTCCTAGCCGTGCGATTGATAGCTGCTACATCTCTGCCTACTGCCAGGATCGTCAGTCGCCTGCTGCTACGCGGAGTCTATTCATGTTGCTGGGCCCCAGGAAGACATTCCTATGGATGATGCTCCTCCACAGGACCCTCGACTCACTTTTCATCAGCGTTTTGATGCTCTTGAGGGTCTGATGGATACTTGCATGCAGCACCAGGAGTCTCTTCACCGTGGCCAACTCTTCATTCTTGATGCCTTCCGAAGTTTCACCTTACACTCCGCGACCACTCCTGACTACCAGTTCCCCTTTGTTGCGAACTTTCATGCATACACTGGTTGGCCCGGGGACCAGGCCCCTTTCTTTGGGGGGGGTGGAGCTGACGATGGTGGAGCAGTTGATGACGAGGCTCCATAGACCGCTGCAGATGGAGTTTACCTTTTATGTTCATCGGATTTTATTTTCAGTGATTTAGCTGTTCATGTTTCAAAACACTGTGGTTAGGTTTGGTATTTTTGTGATTACTTTGGTTGGTTTACTTTTTGTGACTACTCTGTTGATAGCACGATTATTGATCTTGTTGATACTTGGTGTGTTTGTAGTCATTTTTGAATTGTGGTTTGCTTGATACTTGTTGTGTACGTACTTTAGATATTTTTAATTCACTTTAGAACTTTAGTTCATGACTAGTTGCATACGGGTTTCAATGTTGATCATAGTGCTGAGCCAAGTTTGATAAACTTTGGATGTATAGCCAGGTGAGGTTGGAGCTCCTAAATGTTGATGAGTGAATTACGCTTAAGTTGCATGATAGACTTTGCTTGAGTTTCACTGGTGGTTTGCTAATGTTGTGCATTCATATGATCAAGGCATTCATATTTCTTTGTTTTGCTAACCGTCTGAGCCAAAAAGCCATACATCTCACTTGACCCATAACTTCGTAAGCATAAACATCATATCTTTACTTATTCCAAACTGTGAAAAATTAACCACAACCCTTGCTTTTGGTTAAGAGAGTAATTGATAACATGAAACAAGTTTGGGAGAGTTGAAGAATGAAGGCTTCTGTGAAAAGGAAAGTGTATGGCCATTTATTTCATTCAAAAAAAAAAAGAGAGAAGAGAACAAAGCAAAACAAAAACATAACGATGCAAAAATGTGAATATGCATTGCGTAAAGGCTAGTGACTTGGTTCCGGTTAAGGGCATGTTCTAAAATGTTGTATTGGGTTATGGAGAGGGATATCATTGTAAAAATCTTAATTGCTCTCTTAAGCCATAGTACTTTTAATCCCTGAAAAACCATAAGATTGTTATTGCTTGACCCAAATTGCCCTAATAAAGACCTTGTGATGAGTGCCTGCATCTATTTGAATATTGGTTCAATTTGAAAATGGAGAGCAAAGTTGAATTGTGTGGCTTGGGTAGTAGATTTGAGAGAAACACTCACCTTGATACACTAGTGTGCACAAAAAGAAACACCTTCCTAGTAAGGATGCATTCATAGATGATCATGAACTCTCCTCAGTTCTTTGATCTCTTTTGAAACTTTTGTTTGCACCTTGTCATGTTTCATTGCAATAATTGTGATTGAAAGTTCATCCAAGGTTCGTGTTTTTGAAAAGAAAATTCAAGTAGGCTAGAATTTATGAATTTGACCTACATGCATTGCTTGGTGTCTGTAAGATCAATTACCTGTTGCTTTAGGGCAAGCAAGGTTCTAAGTTTGGGGGAGTTGTTAAGTCTCATTTATACTTGTTTTTGGATAGGAATTATTGAACAATTCCACTCACCCCATGCACTCTTGCAATATAATTGTTCTCTTTTGATTCAAATTTGTGCAGATATAGCTAACCCAAAAATCATTTGACAATACCCTGATACACCTTATTTTTTGTGCAGGTATTGAGTTGAGGTTGAAGACCCATTGGATTGTAATATCACGCCGGGCGCAAGATTACCCGCGCCAGGCTTGCTCAAGACAGAGAGCAACACACTCTGCACTCAGCACTGCGCCAGGCGCAAGAGTCTTTGTGTCAGGCGTGCCTCGAGACAGAGAGCATTTAAACTCTCTGGAAGACTTCGCGCCGAGCGCAAGAGTGTCCGCGCCGAGCGTGACTTGAGACGGAGAGTAATTTCTTTTCTGGAAGACTCTGCGTCGGGTGCGAAGTATAATGCGTGTAAACCCTATCATGACTCACCCAGCTCGTATTCGATCAAATCTTCGAGGTTTCCTTCCTCATTCACACATAGGACGACTTCTAGGAGCTGTGGAAGGGATTTTCGGTGCTTGGGACCGTGCTGTGTGTGGGTTTTTCCTTTGGTTCTTCCATCTCTATTTTTGTTTTACCCTCATTGTTTTGAGCGGTTCTACCCATTATTTTGTGGGGTTAGATGTAATCAACTTAACTCTTGTGTAATCTTCACCTTATCAATGATATATGTTCGTTTCATTCATTATTGTGTTATGTTTCTATTATAAATACTTGCTTTAGATTGATTCTCCTTTGCTTGACATAGAGTCCATTGGGTATTGGAAAATAGTCTTTGAAACTAGCTCTGAAACAAAATATCTAGTGAGAAATGTATCTAGGAATGAAGCTTGGCCCATTAGTAGTCTTAAACCCTAACCCGTAATGCAGGTACATATATTGGATATTTAAGGAATTGATATTGAATATATGCACCTAGGCTCTTGCTCTAAGGGATTAAGTTTGAGTAGACATATGGGTTGACTAGGCAATGAATGCAATAAGAGAACAATGATTCATCAAAGTGAAGTTTGGTGATATCTGACCCCACAATTTCACAAATTCACAATATCATTTCTATCCCTTCCATTCACACACAAATAGTTTTATAGATTTAAAATTCCAATGAATCTTAATCTTTGTTTTAATTGCATGACAACCTATAAGAAAAATTGGAATTGTTCTTTAGTCACGAATAGTCATTAAATGCTTATTTTACCTAACTAGTCCCTGTGGATACGATTTAAATTTACTACTCGTACGACCGGTACACTTGCCGTGTTTGAGTCCGTTCTTAGAATTAAAATGATTTATAACAAAATCAAAAGTTAATTTCAACGAAATTCTCAACAAGTTTTTGTTCATTTGAGACAAAAACAAGAGTGCATGGGGTGAGTGGAATTGTTCAATAATTCCTATCAAAAAATAAGTATAAATGAGACTTAACAATAATAAATTGTTCATTTGATACAAAAAATATAAGGGACATTTACACGTTTTTAGAGTAAAATTCACCTATTATGAAATGAGAGTATTCAAATGAGAATAAATATAAGATAGAATAGAAAGAATGAAATATTCACAAAATAAAATATTATTCTAATTCATATATAGAGAGTAATTTTGATTGTAAATTTTATACCAAAAACATTTTATGAACTTTTATTGAAAATAGTCAAACCAAACATGTTGTCTAAATTTTAAAATTAGAAAATGAAAATTATTTTCTGAAAAGGAAAATAGAAAATGTTTTCTGAAACCAAACACCCTTATTTTCTTTCTGTTTTCCCTATTTCTTAAATAAAATCTTTGGAAGTCAGAAATAAAGCAAAAACAAGGTGACATTTTTATGAAAATAAGAGATGGAAATACAATGTTTTCTTAAACTAAACAAGGCAGCCATTATACCAAAAAAAAAAGCCATTTCTGTTCTACTGTGTGTTGAAAATCCTTCTTATCTGTTCTTTGAAGTGGCATGCCACATGCATATGATTTCCACCAGTAGCTAAATGATATGAATTGTCTTTGCTATATCTCTAACTTGCATTCTAAATTTCTGCCCATAGCTGCAAGATTGGAACAATAGGCGGCAGTTTACATCCCCTAGTAACTTCCATGCCGATGGAGTGAATGACCTATTTATCTCTCAGGTATTATTGCTTTCATTTGTTTTTAAAGTTATATGGATGGAAACTTGATTAGCTATTTGTATAATCCTTTTTAATCAGGCTGTAATAGAAAATGCACGAGCAAATGAAATTTTGAAACAGGCCCCATTCTTGATACCATTTACAAGCAGGGTTAAAATATTATCTGTAAGAATCTATCTTTTTTGACTTTGATTTTTTTGCTAAATATCTTTGTATTATGTATTTACAATAGATAGCTGGAACTGAAAGTAAGGTTTTGGACTTTCTGCACATCATATTTCAGTGGTCCATTAATATGTCTACAGTGACTATTTTATTTATTGTTTCATCAGTCTCAACTAGCTGCTGTTAGGCAAAGGCATGGATCTGAGGCTGTATTTACTAGAAACCAGTTCAGAATAAAACGAGAACGTATTTTGGAAGACGCTTATGATCAAATGAGCCAGTTGTCAGAATTAAACCTTCAGGGATTGGTAAAATCCTTTTCTAGGGAAAATTTCCATATTTATTATTCATTCCCCATTTTCTGGTCTTTAAGGGAACTAGTAAGTTCTTTTACATGAGAGTGATTACCTTTTGCTGCATTGCAGATTCGTGTGACTTTTGTCAATGAATTTGGAGTTGAAGAGCCTGGAATTGATGGAGGTGGAATATTCAAAGATTTCATGGAGAACATCACACGTGCTGCCTTTGATGTGCAGTATGGATTATTTAAGGTCTTAGTAATATTTTGCTGTTGTTTATATTTCACATGAAGGTTATTTTCAACAATATATAATTTTACCACATTCAAGAATGAAGGTTATTTAAGTATTAGTGAGTGTGAATATGGATGCAATTGGATTGGTGGAGTGATCGGAAGTTACTTCCTTTTATAATGCTTCCCTTGTTATCCTTAAATTTGTTCCTTGCGATTTGCTGATTCTCGCCATATTGAATGTCAATGCATCTAGGAGACAGCAGATCACCTGCTTTATCCTAATCCTGGATCTGGAATGATACATGAACAACATTTCCAATTTTTCCACTTCCTTGGCACTCTTCTTGCAAAGGTATTCCCTCTCCTTCCCCATTCCCTTTTTAATTTGTCTTCTAATAAAGTGGGCCTTTGCTTTGTATTCTTATACTGCTTGCATTTGCAGGCCATGTTTGAAGGGATTCTGGTTGATATACCATTTGCTACATTCTTCTTGAGCAAATTGAAACAAAAGTAAGACACATGGAGTTTCTTGCTCTGCTTTAGGTAGTTTGTTCATTTAAATTGAATTAGTTCAATTCTCAAATCTTGAATTTTCATGCATTATTTTTCTTGCTTACAACTGCTTTTTTTACTAATGAGATTCACAAATGACTTCATAACATTTATAGTTGGAGGTGGATAAATTGTATCACTGTATCTTACATCTCAAAAATTGAAACAAACTTGCAAAAAGTTATAAATTTTAATTCAGATTATAGCATTTAAATTATTTGTATGATATAGACTCTAGTAAGCAAGGTATTCTTCCTTTTCCACTTTATTGAAAAAAAATTCTGATGGAATAAATAGATATTGTTGTAATTAGAGGAAAAATCTTCCTAATTAGAGAAAATATCTATAGAATCTTCTAGGATATTTTTCAGAATATTTTTCCTTATTTCCTTATTTTAGAAGATTAGATTGTTACAAATAGGTATAAGGAAAATGTAATATGTATGAATAATAATAATAAAATTATTCTCCTTTTCAAGTTGGTATCAGAGCTCCCGATCTTGGGAGCTCCGTTTCCGCTACAAACAGTAGCCACCGCTGCCGCTGTCCGGCCACT